TGTAAAATTGTAAACCAGGATGGGAGGAGACAGAACACAGTGACTGGGGACTGGTCTGACAGACCCTCTAGTAACATACGCATCTGGTGCAGAAACAGCGATGGTGACCCGAGGGTCAGGATGACATCAAGGGCCAGCCCCCTCCTCATCCACGCTACTACCACTTGCCTCACAAAAACCCTAACACAACCAATGTCAGGGACTGTGCTTATTGGAGTGAGCACCCCAGGAAGGAGGGCGTTGCTCGTCAAGATGCAAGCCTTGGGATGCCTGGACCACTCCCCATTCCCTGGCAGCTTTCTGTACTGCTGAGAACCTACAATGAGTCAAAAGGACAAGTTTGAGCCCAAGAGCCACTCGTGGATACAGCTCGCATCTGGAGAAGGGGCCTTGGGAGCTGTAGAAAGCAGCAAGCTACTTGTGGTTGTGCAAATAAGCTCATCACTCCAGGCCAGAACTTCCAGAGCAAAGAATTCATTTTAAACACAAGGAGGCAGTGTGGCTTAGCCACTGAATGGAATTCTACTTGACAATGAAAAGCAATGCACTAAGTCCCCGGATGGTATAAATGGACAAAAAATTCTGCTGCTAACCAAACAGTTGGTGATTCGAGTCCACCCAGAGGCACCTCAGAAGAAAGTCCTGGCAATCTACTTCTGAAAAGTCAGCCACTGAAATACAGTTTTATTTTGATGCACAGGGTGCGGGGTAGCTGGTGTGTGTGTGGGTCATTATGAATTGGAATTGACTGGATGGCAGCTCTGTTTTATAAACTGAATGTTGTAACAAGAGATGGTTCAAAACCACACAGCTGAGTGGAAGCAGCCACCCTTAAGACTCCCAAGAAGATTCTACTGACATGACACTGTAAAAAGAAAACAACAAAAACCTCTATGTTGTTCTTAAAGTGCTGTCAAGTCGGTTCTGACCCATAGCTACCCTGTATAGGGTTTCCAAGGAGCGGCTGGTGAGCTTGATCCACCGAACTTGTAGTTCATATGGCTTTGTAGTCTGGAGCATTAACTCACAACCCATAGCACGACACCAGGACTATATCGGGTCAGAAAAAGGATCACTGGTAGCCAGGAACTTAAGAATGGAATGTACGAACTGGCCTTAAAGGGAATTGAAGACATTTTTTGGTGGGAGGGAAACATGATAATGAATTTAGTGATCTTTACAAAATAATGTAGGTTTGTCAAAATGCACAAGTATGTTTAGAATTAAAAAAAAAAAAAAAGTCCCTGGGTGGTGAAAAGGGTATGTACTAAACTGACTAACCTAAAAGTTGGCATTTGGAACCCGGGTGGTGCAGAAGAAAGGCCTGCCAGGAAACCCTAAGCAGCTAGTGCTACTGCTAACACATGGGGCTACCATGAGTTGGAATGACCTTGATGGCAATGGGTTTGGTTTTGGTATCATAAAAAAAAAAAAGTTTACTGTATGAAATGATACCTCAATTGACTTGCGATGGAAAACGGTAGTGGGAGGGCCTTATGCCGATGGGAGGAGGCTCTTGCTCTCCAGCATCCCAGTTAACACTTGAAAAAGGGCTCTCTTTACCTACAGTGATGAACAGGTTTTGAGAAGCCTGTTTAAACTTTCCTCTCGGAGTGTACTCAGAGCTGGAAGTAAAATCACCTAAACAAGCCAAGGTCTTTGGTGTCCTTTGAAACTGACTCCACGGCACATAATCACCACCACCACCATTTCCAAGAAGGGATTTTGGCTCAACCAAAGCTTGTATGCACTCAGCCATGAACCTAGTAATTGATTGGTTTTCACAAAGGGGATCCAAGCATACAGTTGGGATGGTGAAATGTACATAGTTTCTTTTTGCTTCCGCCATTAATCAGTGGTTCAAATTCACCAACTGCTCCTCGGAAACTCTATACAGGATCACTATGAGTTTAAAACAACACAATGGCACTTACCAACAACGACAACAAACACAACGAGTAGAGGAGCACACCTTCTGTAGAAATCCTCCCAGGTCAACATGCCTTGTTAGGAGATGAGGGGGAGGCCCCAAGTGCTCCATTCCCTTCCAGCAGACCCTCGAGCATTTGCAATACTGATCCATCAAAAGCACATGAAAAAGCATAGAATAACAAGTGGCTTTTCCTGGAGGTTGTCGTGGCAACTCACTTTGAGCATTAGTAGTCTAAGAGATCTTTTTTTAAATTTAGGTTTTCACAGACAAAAACTAACGGCAACAGTTTCTCCCGGATAGGAGCTACCTGGTAAACAGAAACAAAGGGTGTACTCCTGGCTAACCCTGACTCTTCCCCTCCATGAGTAACCTCGTACCATCCACTTATAGCTGAAGCAAAATTAATACAAAACCACAAAGACACCAAGTCCCTCCCCAGTTCACTTTCAGAGATTTTCAGACTTGATGCCTTTGGTTTCACCCAAAAGGGTTGACCTGGACCCTGGACTCCAGCACTGCCTCCCTCACCCCACTCCCACTCTTCCCTTAGGTAAAGTGTGGCGGTTGTCGTTGTTCAGTGCCATAGAGTCGTTTCCGACTCACAGCGGCCCTGTATAGGGTTTCCAAGGAGCAGCCCAGCACATTAACCCAAAGCATCGCACCAGGACTCCTAGGTAGTGTGGAGAGTTATTTAAAAACAAACAAACCAAAAAACCCCCTTGCAGATGGGCTGGGAGGGCCAGGTGACTAACAAGAAATTCTAGTTTCTTTTGCCTTTCTGTCCCCAGGGGAACAGCATCAAAATAGTGTTTACATCATCACTAAAGAACCCCGTTGGGTTATAAGTGGACGGAGTATTAAAGGTCTCAGCAGCCCCTGTCTACTCAGAGAATAAGCATGCCAGGGAGAGTGTCGGACTCCAATGCAGCCCTATTTCCTGCAGCTCTATTGCTGGTACTTAACACAATGCCTGGCACACCCAAGTCTTTGATGAATAAGCGAGTGAGTGAGTGTAAGAACAACCAGCCGTACAGATGAATTTGCACAAAGGGGTGCATTTCTGAAACCCTGGATCCTGCCGACAGTACCTGTATGCACACACCAAGACCTCAGACCCTAGAGAAATCTACAGAGAGCAAGAGAACGTGGGCTTCCATGAGGACAAGGCCAAAGCTTGTCTCCAGGTCTCAGCGCATTGTCTGGCACTAACTGTTTGATGATGACAAAAGTGGGAAGAAAGGCGCCAGGTTGTGGGGGGAATTGGGTGGGTCATAGGGGAAGAAGATGGAGCGAGGCATGAAAACTCCCATGGCCCCTTGGAAGAATGGAAAACTCAGAAATCCTCAGACAGGAATTAGAAGACAGAGTCAAAAGAGCTGGATAACCAGAGCTGTTTGCTTTAGATATTTGAAAATCATCCATAAATTTGTTGACTACTAGCAAGCCATTTTTAATAAGGAGCTAAGAAGTAATTTGCCAAAATTGGCAGCTGGTGTAACGGCCTAACCACAGATCTGGAAGGACTGGTTGTCCATCCCATTGCCAGACCCGTCAGGTGACCTCCATGTTGGCAAAAGGCCTTAACATTGGTCTTTTTTGTTGGAATGCTTCAATGCAAAAAGAGAACTGTGGTTGGCGGAAGTCTACATTAGGCATCTTTCTAATATAAACTGTGAGAGAGTCATTCCAGCTCCAAAGCAAAAGGCAACTAAAAATCCAAGATGAATTCTCAAACAAGTAACCTAACCCATACAGACAGGAACACCACTGTGACTTGTGGGCATCTCTGCCTACGTCCATCCAGAGGAATCCATGGGAATGACGAGCTAAGAGGGTTCCCAGGGCTTTGGCTCCAAACTTGAATCTGCCCCTCACTCACACTGTGCGCCACCATCCGATTGCTTCACCTTCAACACTAACATGGTGGAGTGTGTGTCTGCTGGAATAGCGACAAGGAGAGCATGCTGAAGGAGGATCTAACAGCAGTACCGAAGCTTTCGATGTCACATTGGGACGAGGCTTTTGGAAGATGGTGGGTGGGGAAAGGCAGTGCCAATACCACGTGCTAAGTTCTGGGATGTGGAGAAGATCTCAGAGGCTAAGATGGAAGAAAGCAACCATGATAGAATCTGCAACGTCATACGGTGCCCACCCTGTTGTCAGCCTTTACTCTTATCCCCAGTAAGAGAAAGCCTGACAAGAAACAGTGATCCCAGCCCGCCTATGCTGCCCACTTCCTTACTGGCCTCTGAGAGTCACTTCCATCCCCGAAACCTTTAGACGCTCCTCAGCTGGACAAGATCACGGTTAAGGGAGAGCTTTGGGAAGCTTCCCCAAGCGACACTGGGTGGGGAGGAGGCCGCTGAGGGATGGGTGGGATGGGGTTTCCGGAGGAGTCTTTACAAAGGGTGCTGATCTAATGAAATGGGGCTGATGTGCTGAATGAGGTAGGTCCGTCTTGAACTCTCCAGGGTCAGTCTGAGGATAGGAGCCAGAACTTTCTTCCCAAGACCCCTGATGGTGAAGAGTGGCAAAGGAAAGCCAGACTGGGTTGCTCCTAGGTGAAGAAGGATTAGAGAGGGCAGCTGCAAAGAGTTGTGGTGAAGGCTGGTCCGGCGAGCCGTGCCTCCATCCACCTGACATTTGAGTTGGAGACAAACTTCTCCATCCCTGATGCTCCGAAGCTCCAGAGATGACGGCCTTCCAGGGGCACAGGCATTTGACAGAGCTGGCTCAGGTGGTTCCTCGGGTGAGGAGGGACCACAAAGTTCCAGCCTCAGTTTGTCCTCAGAGCCGCAAGCACAGCACGGGAGATGGGGGGAAGTTTCAGCCTCGGAGACAAGGGCAGGGCTGTGGGTCTGTCTTCTTGGTCTGGGAAAACCGGGGCGTTTGCAGCTGAGCCATCCAGATAGCCCTTCTGGAGTAACCAGCTGCAGCCCATACTCTCCCCTCCTTCTCCGCCTCCACGGGGACCAGGCCAGTGGGTGGGCAGGCACCCCGTCAGTCAGCAGCAGTTCTTGTGGGGGGGCTGCCATAGCTCTGTGTTGGAGCCCCAGCTCTCTTCTCAGCAGGCCCCCCAGGGCCGCATGTGCCCCCCTAGATCTCCATGTCCACAGGGCGGATGTTGCCGGTTTTGTGCTCTCTGACCCACAGCTCCCTGTCTTTGGCGGGGTCCACTTTTCGAAGCAGTTGGTCCACAGGCTCGACTGTCTGCAAGGACACAGAAGGGAGGCCAGAGTCAGAGGTGGCAGCTGGCTGGGGATGTCTCTGAGCTGGCCTGCTCAAAGCCACTGTGTCCCTGACAACAAGCTCTCTAGAAGGCCCTGGGGCCCAGGGGAGTGGCTCATATAAGGACAGGACAGAGAGAGAATACAGAGATAAAGTCTCTCTCACTTGCTAAGGAAGGTACCTTCCCCTCCAGTCCTCAGGGTCTGTGATTCCCTCCAATCGTATCCACATCTCCCACCAGAGAGGAGGGCTTCAGTTTTATATATTTTGAGTATTTTTAAAAAGGTCTCATTCTGTGTCAGAATCCACTCCATGGCAAGGGGTTACGGGTTAGAAGGTCCGTTTTTTGGTAAGAACTCACCGGGAGAGAGAACCAGGTCTTTAGCTATGTTAGCTGTGGTAACCCTCTCTCGAGCAGATTCAAGTGGACTTCCCATGATAATCTGGGTAACTCCATCCCAAGAGGTTGCCCAGACCCCAGCATCCTGCCCACTGCTCACCTTCAGGGCAGGTCCTCCTGTGGCCAGCCATTTAACCTGCCACCCCCCCCACCCCCCCAGGGCCCTGCTGGACAGGGAACTCACACTTTGGTTGAACATGTCGGTCTCATGCCGCAGCTGTGTGTACTGACATAGATGCTGCCGGATCATCTCGACTCGCTCCACCTCCAGCCGCTCCAGCTCCTGTCCAGAAGACCAGGCACCTTTAACATCCCACCAAGCAGGCCCCAGACCACCGCATATGACAGGCCCGGGGCCACTTACCCCTCTGGGGTCAGATGACAAATCTGAGCTCAGAAAGGGGACGGGACCTGCCCAGTAGCTATGGTGAGGATGAGGAAGACAGAGTAGCTATAGTTCCTGAAAGCCTGCTCTTCCAAAAGTAAGACGCTTTCGGTGGGTGACTTACTTGTCCTCACAATAATTTTAAAAGAGTCTATGTGAAGGGATAGCACACCTAGACTTGGAAGGCCATTTGCCCAAAGCACCAGGGAATGATGGAAGGATCTGGGACTTGAACTTGAACCTGAATCTGGATCTCACTCATTACTCTGCACCTTTGCAGCCCTAGCCGCAGTGCCTTCTTATTGTTAAGTACCATTGAGTCAGTTCTGACTCACAGCAACTCTGTGTAGGGTTTCCAAGGAGCAGCTGGTGAGTTTGAACTGGGAACCGTGAGGTTAGCAGTTCAGTGCTCACCGTACAGAGCCACACCGGGACTCTCATAGTACCCTGATGGGGGGCAAAATGGGACATGTGTACAAACTTCCAGGACTGAAAACTCATGGGCTTTGTCCTTGGGCCTCAGCTGAGCAGCCTCCTCTCTCCTACCCCCACCCCAGGATCAGAAGGGCAGCAGACAGAGGAGGCCTGAGCAGACAGAGAAAGCTGCGAGGACAGCAGTCATCGACAAAGGGAAGAGTGGACAGTGCTTGTCCTTTGGTTTCTGTTTGGAATCTAGGGGATCAGGCTGTTGTGCACACAGCTAGGTCACTGCCCAGGTGACCTGGACATGGGATAAAGCAGGGGGCTTAATTAGGAGATTAACCAGGAGGGAAAGTAGGTTACTGTTCCTGGTGGGGACCACTAATCTGCTCTGGAGGGCTGACACCTGATGAAAGCTGCCAGGTTAGGGCAATGCTGACAGGTGGTGTGGCTGGTGGAGGACAGCGGGCCAAGAGGGCAGTCACCGGACATGACGTCTCCTCTCTCATCTGGCTCACAGCACAAGTTCTTAACACAGTTCCTGTCACATGCAGGGGGTCATGGACAAGAGATGCTGTCTCCTAGTGGGAGACACTCAGGAAGGTCTGATCCTGCCCCCACCCTCTTGGTCAGAAGGCCTCCTCCTCCCAATTCCCCTAAACTGCTCCACCCTCACCTCACCCATTTGTAAGTCTTACAAGGAGCTCTGCCCAAACACCGGCGACTCCTCTGAGGTACTCCCTCTTCCTACAGCGTGGACATCTGTCCTAAAGGAGGCACTGTCCAGCTACCTCTGGGTTGGGGGCATCCTCAGGTGACCCTGCCCTTTGGGGGACAGCTCCAGGTAGACAGAGTAAGACCCGAGCCTTGCCTAAATTGAACCAACCAGGAGGCGGTAAAGCAGGGATCTGACTCCACAAGACAGGCCTAGAGCTTGAGGTCTTGATTCTGACACTGGAGTAGACCTAGTGACCACCTCTAGTCACCTCCACGACCCCAGCATCCACCCAGGCTTCCTGTCCATCGACACACCTTCGACCACTTACCAGTGTGGTGGTCACCATCTCTTCAAACCACTTGGACTGGGCCTGGTTGTAGAGGTCCACACAGCGCATGAGGTCATCCCCTGGAAAAGGCCCACAGCCTCCATTACGCTCTGGCCATGACTGCCTTTTCCCACCTGCCCCCCACGACCACACCCTCTGTTCTTCCTTGGATCAGAGAGGCCACTGGAACATGGGGAGGTAGGGAGAGCAGAGCCAAAGGAACAGGGCAACCCAGCATCATGAGAGACAAGCTTCAGAGTGTCCTTCTACACTAGGCACCAGACACCAAGAACACGGGGTGAGAGTAGGTGTCAACCTGTCACGAGCCCAAAGTACTTTCGGTTCACACTGGAGAACTCTATTTGGTTAAAACATAATGTTATGAACAACCTGGTGCGAATTAGAGTTAAAGACATCTGCACATCATGAATGTATGTGTGTCCAGGCAGCATGATGTTGCTCTGCAACAGAAAAGAACGGAATGAGGCTGATGTTTTATGCCTCATTCGGATGTGGTGACACTATGAAAACACCAGGGGGCGCACTACATACCAACTGCAGGAAGTACCAACTCTGACATGAGAAGACAAACTAACTCTATGGAGTGAAGTGCCGTCAAGTCGGTTCCGACCCATAGCGACCCTGTATAGGGTTTCCGAGAAGCAGCTGGTGAACTTGAACCACCTTGCAGTTCCAACAGCTTTGCAGTCTGGAGCATTAACCCACAGCGCCACACCAGGACTCTAGCTCTATTGTTGTTAAGTGCCGTAGAATCAGTTCCGACCCATAGTGACCCTGTACAGGGTTTCCGAGGCTGTAAATCTTTATGGGAGCAGAATGTCCCATCTTTCTTCCATGGAGCGGCTGGTAGTTTCAAACTGCTGACCGTAAGGTTCACAGCCTGATTCGTAACCACTACACTACCAGAGCTCCTTAGCTCTCTATAGCAGCTTTTTATTGTATCATTTCTCTCTACTGGACAGAGATCTGAAACAAACAACTATCCTATCCCACCTTGGTGATTAGTATACTATCTCCTGTTATCGTATTTATTATGTTTGAAGCATTCTGTAATTCAGAAGAAAACAAACTGTCAAGTGACTGCAAAAACTAACTATGGGTGCCAGCTACACACGATGTCTTAGGCCAGCAGCAGCACCTGGGAATTTGTGAGAAATGCAGATTCTCAGGGCCAATCTGGGACCGACTGAATCAAACGTGGCACTGAGCAAAATCCCCCGGTGATGCACATGCACAACGCAGGGGGCAAGTGCTACTCTAGTGCATAGCTCGGTTCCAACACCATTTTCTGGTACCATAGTCTATGTTTAGTCCCCCACAAGGGGGACTGAATTGGAGCGGAGAAAGTGGCTCCTTAACAAACGCATTTCCACCCAGAGCCCCTGCCTGATCGAGGCTAGGTGGGGTCAGCACACCATCCTATAACCACCATACAACAGGAGACCCCCAAAGTCCTCCTTGCTAGTCCTGATTTTGACCCCATAGGACGGAATTAGAACTGCTCCTAAGCTTTAAACTATAACTAAAGTCTTTGAACTAAACCAATTTAAATATGCCTTGTCTCCTTGTTGTTAAGTGCCTTCAAGTTGGTTCTGACTCACTTTGTATAGGGTTTCTGAGGCTGTAAATCTTCACGGGAGCGGAAAGCCTTATCATTCTCCCATGGAGCAGCTGGTGGGTTTGAACTGGCAAACTTCTGGCTTGCAGCCCAGTGCTTATCATACAGAGCCACCATGCTTCCCTTACACTCCCAGTACACGTATTATGCCTTCTTCATCTGGACTTCTGGTGTAACGCTCTAGGATACGCACCAGATGGCAAAACACAAGGTCAGCAGGTTAAACCCACCAGCTGCTCCTGAGAAGCCCTATACAGGGTCGCTATAAGCTGGAATCGACTCCACCACACTTAATAACAACGGTCTAGATCCAGTAATGAATTAATGCACCTTTTAAGTTCTGTACGAGGGGGATTCCAAAGGTTGGTGGGAAAAATTTCATGATCTTTTAATTCCATTTTCCCACCAACCTTTTGAAGCCCCTTGTATGTAAATGTTATGGTTGTTGTTGTTAAGTGCCGTGGAGTCGGTTCCGACCCATAGTGACCCTGTACAGGGTTTCCGAGGCTGTAAATCTTTACAGGAGCAGAAAGCCTCATCTTTCTCCCGTGGAGCGGCTGGTAGTTTCGAACTGCTGACCTTAAGGTTCGCAACCCGATTTGTAACCACTACACTAACTACATTATTATGTTGACTTGTTTCTATTTATATTTTATTTCAAAATGCCTATCAGTAGACATCAAGGTCAGGAGTTCGAAACTACTAGCTGTTCTACAGGAGAAAGATGAGGCTTCTGTAAAGATTTACAGCCTCAGAAACTCTATCTAGGGTTGCAGTAAGTTGGAGCCGACTCCACAGCACACTACCACCACCACCATAAGTAGACAGTTTAAGTGTAATAGTGGATCTGAAGTTACGGCAAAAGAAACAAACCAGAAAACCTGTTGCATCAAATGGGGTCTGACTCGTGATAACTTGCGTGCTGCAGAGGAGAACTGCTCCGTAGGGTTTTCTTGGCTACAATCTTGGTGCCACTATGTGGATGCAAACTGCCAGTGTTTAGGTTCGTTGATAACCAGAAACCAAGTGTGTTACACAGAGATTTTACCCATTGCCTTTAGTTGGTTCTGACTCACAGTGATTCTACAGGACACTGTAGAACTGCCCGAGGGCTTCAAGGCTGTAATTTTTACATAAGCAGATGGCCCCATCTTTCTCTTGTGGAACAGCTGAAGGGTTTGAACCGCTAACCTTTCAGTTAGCAGCCAAGTGCTTAACGCCTATACCACCAGGGCTCCTTTGAGTAAGTGTTCCATCCTGGGAAACCCTTCAATCAGTGCACATGGCTCTCCTCAAAACACTAACCCAGGTGTCACGCAAGCCTAATCCAAACCGTAATTTTACAGCACACATTTTCATTTCAGAAGGCATTGTTCTTATGTGACAACTCAGTTTCTTTTTTAAAAAAATATGGAACATTGTATTTGGCACTTGAAATGAAAGGTCTGGTTGTCTACTTCTGAAAAATCAGCCACTGAAAACCCTAAGGCTCCACTCCAACACACACAGTGTTTGCCATAGGTTGGTGTCAATTTCCCCTTTCTTATCATGCACTAGCTAATTTTGACCACTAGGTGGAAGTAGAAACCACTAATAGAATGGGAATCTGGCATGTCTACCTCCATTCTGTTCCTTTCCTAGGTAGGAGTCCCTCATCTTTGCAGGACCCTCAGAGTCTCAGGCACTTGGAGGCAGGGTTGAGGGGCTTGGGGGTGGGGGAGTGGCTAGAGCCTCCACAGGTTGTAGTCTCCTGTGGTACCTCTGTGGGGATGAGGTCCCTGGCTTCTGTGAACCTAGAGGAATGTGTCCCAGGTCATCCCCAGGCAGAGAGTGAGGGTCCCTGTCACCACATGACCTGGAAACAGACTGGCCTACCCTCTCCCGCCCCCATGCCCCCCACCCCCAGCTCCAGTCTGGGGGCGAGTGGCGCCAGCTCTCACCAGCCTGTGTGGACTTCCGCCGTGCCTTCTTGATGTCTTCCTCTGTTTTGTTGCTGAGCTTGATCTCCAGTTGCTGGGTTTTCATCTCCAGGTCTCTCTGCCGCTCAGTGAGGGCTTTCCGGGCCTGGGCAAGGACAGGGAGAAGCTATTCCTATGCTTCATGGCCACCTGGCCAGCCTCCTTTGTCTAAGTCCCTGGGTTGGGGTGTGTGTGTGTGTGGGGTGTGTGTGTGTGTGTGTATATATATGTATATATATATATGTTGTTGTTAAGTGCCGTTGAGTCGGTTTCGACCCATAGCGACCTTGAACAGGGTTTCCGAGGCCTCATCTTTCTCCCGCGGAGCAGCTGGTAGTTTCGAACTGCTGACCTTGCGGTTTGCAGCCCGATCCGTAACCAATACGCTACCAGAGCTCCTTATATATGTGTGTATATATATACATATATATTAAGCAACTGGATTAGTGTCACCCAGTTACTTCACAGCACTGGCCTTCTCAAACCCACGCTGTGAGTTGGCCTGGCCTGGAGCAAGTCTCTCAGACTGTATTCATTGGATCAGGTAGACATACTGCGGACCCCAAAACAGCAGAAAGGCAACTCCACTGCCACTGAGCTAATTCTGACTCATAGCAACCTCTATAGGTCAGAACAGGGATGCTGAGGGTGTAAATCTTTACGGGACCTATCTCATCTGTCTCATGCAGAACGGTACGTGGGTTTGAACCATTGACCTTGTAGTCAGCAGCCATATGCTTAGCCCACACCACCACCAACAGTCCTAAAATCACTCTCTCAGGGTTGGAAGGAACTACAAAGGCTACTGGGTCACTTCCATTAGCAGCACCAGTACCCCAGTCCACACCAGGCAGAGCCTCAGACCGCTGTTCCCCTTCCCCAGAACCAGCCTTTCCTGATGGTGCCCAAATTCACAGTTCTCCCTCCTTCCCACCACCAGCGCTATGTGCCCCTCTCCCCGACACATGTTCCTGTGACCCTGAAGTTAGCACCCTGGGGAAGGCTGGCCATCAGACCACTGAGCAGAGAGGTGACCAGGGAGGGAATCTGCCAGGTGAGGACCAAAGGGGCCGCATGAACACCCACAGCCTGTCCAGGGCTCAAAGTCCCACAAAAGCATGGGTTTACATAACGAGACAACACTTCATCCCTGCTAGGATTGCTGTTAACAGAAAACAAAACAAAACAAAAATGGAAAATAGAGTATTGGTGAGGATGTGGAGAAACTGGCAATGCCACGCTGGTGGGGACGTGAAATGTACAGCCGCTTTGTACACAGAATTTGGCAGTTCCTCAACAAGTTAGACACAGAACCGCCAAATGACTCATATATACATCTCAGAGACGTGGAAGCAGGAACCTGAGCAGATTAACTGTATGCCAATATTCACTGCAGGACTATTCACAACAGTCAAAAGGTGGAAACAAGCTAAATGCCCACCCGCAGGTAAGTGGTAAATTACTCAGCCATGAAGACGAATGCAGTTCTGACATCTGCCCCAACATGGATGAACACAATATCCTGAGTGGAAGAAGTCAGACACACAAGGACAAGTAATGTACGATCCCACTGACAGGAAGTATCTGGAATTGGCAACTGCAGAGAGACTGCCGGGGGCCAAGGGAAGAGCATGGGAGCAAGTGCTTAAAGACCGTGGGCTTGCTTTTGGGGTGATGGACACATTCTGGAACTAGACAGGGGTAACGGCTAATCAACACTGTGGAAGTATCTAACGACACTGAATTTTTCCCTTGTAAAGAGTAATGGCAAACTGTTAAATATTCTTATCACACATACACTAGTGCACACATGGGATTCCCTCGTCTCACATGCCCAAATGAGCCTCCCTGGAGCCTCCCTGTCCCCGGGAACTCCTCTGAGCCCCCGGGGAAAACAACTCCCACCTACCCTTGATTTTGGGGGTTCATGGGTGTGGCTCCCGGCTCCTACTTCCCTCCGATCCCACCACATGGGGAGCAAAGGCCTTGGCATGTGGTGCCATTTCCAGGAACCCAACCCCTCTTCCCGCCCAGGCTTTGTCCCAGGCCCTCACCTTCTCCACAGCGGCGTAGCGGCTGGCTAGCTGCTTGCGAAGATCAGCAATGTGGTGGTCACACTTTTTCATGTCTTTCTTGAAGTTCTCTCGGAAGTTCATGAGGGGTTTCTCTACTTCACTGTGAAGCTGTCAAGGAGAGAGTGAGAGGACATACTCAGGACCCCAGAGCCAGAGCCACAGGTGTATGCAGGGAGGGTGGGAGTGGGGGCAGTGGCCTTGGCCTGTGACCAGGTTAGGACACGTGACTGGTGTCAGATCTCAGTTTAGGAAAAGCACTTGAGCGTATTCAGTTTTCCCTTCTACAGAAGGGGCGGACTGGACTCTAAAGCCTCCCTAGATCCCTCTAGTCAGCTAAGCCCTTCCTCCCGGCCTATGGCTTTGCTCAGGTGTCCGTTTCTTTCTTAACTGGGGAGCGGAGGTGGTCCTCTTAGGGCATAATGCCACTCATCTCGGTGTCCTCACATGTAGCATGGTAACTGTTGAGTCGTTTCTGACCCACAGTGATCCTGTATAGGGTTTCCAAGGAGCAGTTGGTGAGCTTGAACCACCAACCTTGCAGTTCAAACGACTTTGCAGTCTGACGCATTAACCCACAGCACCACATCAATTCTTGAGTGTGTGCCATTAAATCAGTCATATTAGGTTACTTCTATTTATTGAACATTTACTATGTGCCCAAGGCTGAGAATTGAGCCCAGACCTTGAGGGGCTTCATTGTAGGAACTGCTTAAGGGCTTTTGGAAAGTTCCCAGGGCTGCCCTTGGGGAGTCCTGTCAGCTGACGGGCGCAGATGAAGAAGCTCCTTTGGCCAGGATATACGCTCTGAGAGGAGGTGGATAAGACTAGGTTTTCAGAGTTTATCTTTTTCTTTCTTTCCCTCCTTCCCACTTAAAAAAAACACTTGTTCAACAATGCTTTTTTTGGGGGGGGTGGGTGAGTGGTGGGGTTGGAATTATATTTCTTTTATAAGAAAATATGAACAGGTATTTAATCAAAGCCAGGTGAGTGGGCTGTAGCTTGACTGGGCCTCTTAAGGCCCTCAGAGCTCAGCATCTGAGGGTCCCTCAAGTTGGTCTCCCAGGACCCTCCCAAATTCAGCCTCCTGCTGCTCCCAAGTGTCTCTGAGGCAGGCAGATGAATTTCCTGGAGAGGCACCACCCCGATTCTGAGGCTCCAGGTCTTTCCTCTTCACCAGCTCTTCTTCCCTTGCTGTTGTCTCTGGCAGCGGCGTGGAGTTAGGTGTTCCTAGTTCTAAACCAGCAGCTACATGAGCCAGGAGCTCTGAGAAGGCAGGGCCACACCTGCCCTGGTTGCTTGAGTGTGTGCCCATGACTATAGTGTCCAGCCCCCGCGGTGCAGGGGTGAGGAACGGCTTTGTTGTCGATGACCAAGGCTAAAAGACAGTGGGCCATCCAAATGACCCTCTCCCTCCTGGTTTCTGGGGGTGTCTGGAATTAGTTGTAAATTCCTCAAATGATCACAGGCGTACTGCAGAGACACTGCAGCATCTGCAGGATGCAATAAAGTGACGTTCACTTGAATCATTATTATTGAAGCCTTGAAAGTTTCCTCTCAAAGAAAGAACATCTCCATCAGATGGCTGTTTATAAAGATGCCACAAACCTGGGAGCTGACAAGAACACACCAAGCCCTCTGCCCACCAAGCCCCAAGCTGGCTGGGGAGGAGGCGGGACCGGTAACTTAACTTCACCCTGGGAACCTCCTGTAGACTGACTCATGCTCCCAATGTGTTGAATTCCTGGCTCTTGTTCTTGGGGCGGTGATCCTGTTTGGAACTAGGGCTTTCTTTGCTATATTGGTGTAGGGTTAGTCCCAAACCTAACTACTTCTGAGTCATAAAAAGACTGGAATAGACACAAAAACACATGGGGAAGGCTGATGTTATCTGAAGGAGGAGGCAGGTGGCAGGGGGATGGAGCTCCAAGAACTGCCTGCTACCAGATGAGATAACAGTTCTAGTCCGTCCAGAGGTGCTGAGGAAGAAAGGCCTGGTGATCTACAGTCAAAGTCACTGAAAACCCAATGGCTCTACTTGGATACGCACTGCTTTGAATGTTAGAAACTGCGATACATAATAGTTTTTTTTCTAGAGTCTCGCCTGAGAATCCAGACTTCTGGCTTCCTAACTGGGAGACATGACATTTCTCTTCTTTAAAGGTGCCCACTTGTAGTGTTTCTGTTTAGACATCACTAAGGAATAAAGGATGAACTCAGCTTGTTGACTCAGAAACATTAGAGTCTCCTCCTGAGATCTTGGGAAGTAAATGACTGCCAGATGTCCATATGTCCAGGAGTGACCTCAGGGAGGCAGGGAACTTTTCAAAATTAAGGATTCCCAAGTCCAGGTTCTGTGATCTGGGGAAGGAAGGCCCCAAGAACAAAAATGCCTTTCCAAAATTCCGAATGACATTCTGGAAATTTGGTGTCAGAGGTGATTCAGGTCCATAGATGAAGGTCCATGAGTTCTCCACCTCTATGTTTTAAGTCGGACTCCTGGCGTGGCACTGTAGGATCAGCACTGGACTGTGAGCCACAAGGTCGGCAGTTCAAACCCACCAGCTGCCCCTTGGGAGCCCTAGGCACTTAACAACAACAACATTTTAAGTAGGAGCCCAGGTACGTAGTGGGTTATGAACTGGGCTGCTAACCGGTAAGTCAGTCATTCCCTGTGAGAAAGATGAGGCTTTCTACTCCCGTAAATATTTACAGCCTCGGAAATCCTATACCGAGTCGGAACGGACTTGTTGGCACACAACCACCACCACATTTTAAGCACGTTCAAAAGACTATTTTTTAAAACTTGTCATTTTTTGAAAACTCCCTTTTAACTTTCAAAACATCTTTGTTTAGCAAGGAATTTAGAAGTCTTTCTTGAAAGTTTGTCTTCATGAACTATTGGGTTGACGTGTTGTCAAAATGCTTTTTCATGGCTGGAGACCTTCCATCTTGGTCCTGAGGTGACAGGACCGGATCTGTTTGTCTTTTCAGAACTCTGTATTCGGCATTTCCTTTTGCTCTCACCGCACACAGCAGAAAAGAATAAAAGATACTTCAAGTTGGAAGCAAGTTGGGGGGTTTTCACACGGGCGGGAGGGGGGTTCAGAAGAGTTGTGAAATCAGTTTATGGATCAGGACCAGGTTTTGGATGAGAACTGATTAGACTAGAATAGAAATGATCAGAGCACATTTTAGGTAGAAGGATACATTTTTGTGAAACATTTGTGCCGTGAATCAGTATCTGCACATGGATATATTGTTGCTAGTGACCATTCTGACTCACAATGCATATGTTTTCCCAGGCTTTTAAATCTTTGTCTCATCTTTCTTCCATGGAGTGGCTGGCAGGCTCAAACCATGAACTTTGTAGTTCACAGTCCAGTGCTTATCGTGTATCCCTGTACATACACATGTGCATTCCGGGTTGCCACCTGAGCGTATTTCTTACTGTGGGCACAAACACGCTTGAAAGATGCTGATTTGTTCCAGACTTTCGTATCATACATGAAGAAGTTGAAGCCCAGCGTTGGTAAGTCCAAGGCCACAAAGCATGTAAGTGATGGAAAAACAGTTGACGTTGAGTTGATTCTGATTCCTGGGACCCTGTGTGCCAGACCACAACTGTGATGATTTTTTTGGAGGTAGATCACCAGCTCTTTCTTTCGAGGTGCCTCTGAGTAGATTTGAACCTCCAACCTTTTAGTTAGCAGGTAAGCATGTTAACGCCTTCTGCTACACAGTAGCTCCTCGCTAGTGACTACACTGAGATACAAGTTAAGACTCCTGGCTCCTACTAGCCACACACACCCACCACCCAACTCTCCTGGCTGAATGCACTACCCCTATCACAGGGTTAGAGTTCTGCCATCAGAACTAGAACTAGCCTTTATATACGGCAATCTTAGTCCTCTTACAGCCTGTAGCTATGAACAATGGCTGGAACGAGTTGACTAGAGAAGTCTGAAAGTTTCCTTTAACAAAATTGCACATCTTAAAAGAGTTTTTTGTGTTTTTTTTTTGCCACCATCACAGAATAGAACATCCGGAGCGGAATTTCAATAAGCTTTTGGAGCACATATTAAAATGGACTTGCACCTAGGTTCCCCATTCCAGCTCAAGAAGATGTCCTAAGACTGCAGAGCGGCTACTCTGATCGTCCAAGGTCATCTGCACTGACTGATGGAGCCTCTCTCCCCCTCCCCATCCCCCCTCCGCAGGCAGGAAACACTAGATAGAGCCTCTCACGGAAAAATCTAGTGGTGGTCATTCTTCATCAGCACCCCCATCAGTTGAATGACAAGGTCTGTCCTGACTCGAGAACACCTAACTTCAAACCTCCTGAGTATCTGGAGGACCACCTGCACCACCCTGCAACAGGAGAGGGAAGACTGCTTCTCATGAGAGGACCCCGTCTGCAGAAAGGCCCGGAATCCACTTAGCTGCATGGGGTGGGCTGTGAGTGGATCTCTCCTCCCCTTCTTCAGGGCGAAGTGGAAAGATAGATCTTGCATAAGTGACAGGGTGGGAAGTGATTGTTGAGTGCAGGGGGCCCAGGTTCAATTCCCAGCCAACACAGTTCAAACACAACAATGACCACCTGTCTGTCAGGGAAGGCTTGTGTGTTACTATGATGCTGAATAGGTTACAGCAAGAGCTTCCAGTTGGTAACAGACTAGGTGGTCCACTTCCAGTGAAAACTCCATGGATCACAGTAATCAGATCCACCACTCATCTTAAAAGATGAAGGACTTGGGCTACGGTTCATTCTGCCGTGACTTCAGATCTTCCTGGGCTCTGCCATGACCACAGCTAACATCATATCGTGCATGGTGGCTGATAAAGTAAGATGAGTTCTATTCAGTACTCAATGATCTCCCATCACAACCAAAATCAGGGACATGTGGTGCACAGGATGTTTTTTCAGGGCAGTAAAAGGATACTGAATGATACTGCCCTGGGGGAGCCATGACATGCATTTGTCAAAAAACAACACAGAATGAACTCTAATGTAACCTGTAGACTTTCGTTCATGTGACAGTGTTGTACACATCAATGCAAGATGTTAATAACGAGAGGAACTGGGTACAGGGAGCAGAGGGACCTATGGAGCTTTCTGCCGGCTCTGCACCATGTTTCTATAAACCTTAACTGCTCTAAAAAAAGAAAAAAGAAATCTCTTAAAAAAAGAAAAAGAACGAGGAGTCCTACTGCTGGTGAGTGAAGCCCACCAGGATTCCCATGGATCCAGCAGGTGATATTTTAGAAGCCTGCAGATCTGGCCCCGAGTTCTCACCTTCCCAATGAGCTCTGTAGCAATGGATATTTCTACCACTGTGGAGAAAGAATGGAGGTGTTGGGGGCTAGGGTAGAAGAAGGGAGACCCAGGGGAAAGATGACTCAGAACCCACAGCTTCAAAAGAACTTGCTGCTTTGTATGCAGGGCAGCAAAGACACCAATTCATGGAGCTTCCTTCTCTCTCAGTGACTGAGTGGCAATTTTCCTGCGAAGAAGTATTTGGTGTTGCAAAGTTCCTGTGCTTTTAACTCAGGGAATTCTCACTCACATCTGGTGTCAGCTGGCTATCAGGGCACCGGCTTCTTTCAAGAGCAGAGTTGGTAATACCACTGTCTCTCCCTCCTCCAGCTCTTTCCCACTGAGCCCACTTTCTGCCACACCTCAGCGGCTTGAGTGATTGAATGTTTGCAGAGCTCCACCACAGGTAGGAGAGATGTGGGTTCAAAGAGTCACTCCATGTCCTCAAAGGGCCCACATCACAAGGGGACCCCCAAACACAGGGCTGCAATGTAGTGGGAAAAGTGCTAGAAAGAGAGGATCAGTGAGTACTAACATGGCAGCCAGGGGAAGGAGCAATCATCTTTGGGGATACTGTGCTCCCCAACTTAAACTGGAGTCCTGGTGTGGCCCTGTACGGTCAGCAATGGACTGCGAGCCACAGGGTTAGCAGTTCCAACCCACCAGCTGCTCCTTGGAAACCCTATACAGGGTCGCTATGAATCAGAACTGATTTGATGGCACTTAACAATTTAAATACAGGAGTGTTCAGAGAATTTAAGTACTTTACATGAATTGCCCTTTCTGGCTTCTGTGTGAGGTCAGTGAAGGGACTTTGGTAGGAAAGGGTCACTGGAATGGTCTTATTCTCACCCTTTAAAAGCCTGTGGTGGGATCCATCAGTCATTCACATTTTGGTGAAAATTGTTTCACTTGGACATTTAGTTTCTTTATCACTTTGAAAACTGAGGAGTATAATCAGAGGTTTCTCCTATATTCATTAATTCAGAAAATATTTGTCAAGCCTCTACCGTAAACCAGACACCATTCTGAGGACTGAGTACAGCGTGAATAGGACAAAAACATCCCTCTCCTTAAGAAAGTTATGGTGCTAGAGTCTTTGGAACCAAATTAAACAGGTGCCCACCCATGCATTCTTAAATTTTGTACAAGCAACAACAGAGAAAGACACTCTGCCTTTGGCATAGTGTCTCCTGACATCAAGAAAAGGAAGAAAATGCCAATATGTTCCTTTGAAAGCAAGAGAGACGAGTTTCATCATTCAGGGATCCACCAGAGGGCATGAAGGGTATTCACACAGGTGTGTGGGGGCTGGCTCACACTGGCTTATATGAGCTGAAGGTGACATCTTCAGGAGTTTTTCGACCTCGGTTAAACACAGGTATTATTAAAAATCAATTTAAAGAGACCAAAAGGTCAGAGGTTCAAGCTCACCAGTGGTTCCTCAGAAACACTAGTTGCTACGAGTCATCACCAACTCTAAGGCACTTGACGACAACCGCCATGAAATATACCAGTATGTTAAACACAAAGGTTAAAGAGTGCTCTGAGCACATCATTTCCTGTTACTGTTTTGGCTCCTGATGCTATCTACCATCCACCGCACATCTCTTTCTAACCCGATGACATTCAGTAACTCTATGTGCATGTTAGAAGCTTAACAGTTACACCATGGAAATTGGTATACACTACAAACTGGAGAGACGGCTGCAGGACATCAGACCAGCCTTGGACGGTCAGCCTTGGAAGCTTACAGGCATGAGGGAGATGTTACCTTGGCAGAGAACTTGAGGTGAACTTCAGCTTCATCTGCAAGACTCTTCTTGACTTGGGCCCATGCTTCTCCCAGGGAGCTGCAACACAAAGGAGATACTTAGTCTAGGGACAAGAGACAGACCAGATACACAGACACAGACACACACTCTCTCTCTCTCACTCATTCACAAACACACACACTCAGTGTTGGTTTTCAAGTCCAGAAGGGAAAAGCCAAGAGACAAAAAAAATGGCCAGAACTCATTCCCAGAGACATTAGTTTGTTATTGAAAAGAGAATATAGGAGATGGTTTACAGACAAGGGAATTTACCTAACAAAGGGCAAAACACATTTGTGGCCAGTGGCAGCCAGCTGGATCATGAAGCTTTACCATGCTAGGGGCAGGAGCAGGAGCAGGGGCTAGGGTCTTTTTATATCATGGGATATTTGCAAGGGAAATGATAGTTAAGGGTACTATGCTGAACTAGGATAGTCAAAGGTGGCGAGTTGTCTGTCCTCTCCTAAGAAAAAAAGGGGTTTCAGCACACATAGTGGGAGGCAGGGCTGTGGGCTCCTTCCTAGCATCTGCAGGACTGAAGCAGAACAAGAGAGCAGGAGGACAAGGCTGTCTGGCCCTATTTAAACAGCAGGAACAGGGGAAAGGGACAGGAGAGATGGTTTTGAGGTGACCTTGGTGTGGTCATTTTGGAGCGTTAAGTTTGTGTCCCTACAGAGAATGCCAGTGTCAGGTCAGAGATCGCAGTCCTCTCTGCATTGGGACAGCGAGTCTCAGCCCCAAGTCTCGGGCGAGGGCATGCAATACTGGAGACTTTGGAATTGGACGAGGCACAAAACAACATGAGCATCATGCTTCAATTTACAGGACCCGATGGAGACAAAGGAGCAAGGGGAATGGACAGTCGAATGCCTAGAGAAGTAGCCAGAACCAAGAGGTCAACAAGAACTGGGGAGGTGCAGAGGAAGGTAGGTGCAGTCACACACAGCGTTGGCTACAATGGGGGCCTGGGCACGGAGACACTGTGCAGTCTCTGCTGCTTTGCTACCAGCCCTCTCTGTTTGCTGATGATGTATTCAAATGATGCTGTTAAGTGCCATCGAGTCAGTTCTGACCCATGGCAACCCTGTATAGGGTTTCCGAGGGAGTGGGTGGTGGGCTTGAACCGCCAACCTTGTGGTTCAAACTGACTTTGCAGTCCAGCGCATTAACCCACAGCACCACAGCAAGGGAAACGCCTGCTGGTGAATCAAGGGAGGAGAACAGATGGAAGGTGCCACATACAGTCCTTTCTACAGGTAAACCCCAGGCCCTTGGCTTCCAGGAGAGGCAAGGATGGGATCAGTCTGGGTCTAGAATAGCTTCTCTCTGGAATACTCTCCAGCGACCTCTTCAGGAACTTCTCTGTAGTGCTATTTGTCCCCATGGGCTGTGAACATCTAACACAGCCCACAGCCTACCAGAGAATGGCCAAGTTCTTGAAACTAAATCATTTTTCTACTCCAATGAGATATTTCAAGTAGAAAATAACCATCTCAAGTCCTCGTGTCTTTGAAATGAAGGCCCCTCATTCTACTTTCTTCATTATTTGATACTCTTTAACTGTGCTAACTTCTGTCTTCAAGATCTCTTAAAACACAGCGAGTAATTCAGGCTGGATGTTCAGCTGACTTAATTTCATCAGGAAGCCAATTTCTCCCCCTGAGAATTCATTAAACCTGAGTGGCCAAAGCTGATTAAAAGACAACACGCTGTGAAGCTTCTAGGATTTGGAGCAAAGCAGCCCATAGCTAAGAATTACTGGGTGGATCCGATCCCTTTGATCAAAGTCCAGACCTGACCGGCTGTGGTTCTGGTTAGGGCTGCTGCGGGTGTTTATAGGGAAATGAGCTCATCAGGAAGGAGAGATTCCCCGGGTGACCCCAATTAGGGAGCCCTGCTGGAGTGAGAAACAGATGACAAGCCTCTGGCAAGGCCTGAGCCCCAGGAAGTCCTGTTAGGGTATCTGCATCCTCTGGGGGTCTAGTCTCCAAACTTACTGAGCAGATGGGGAGGTGGTCCAGGAGGAAGGATACAGAAGTAGTCCTAACCATCCTATAGATTTACGGAACAGAATACACAGTCCAGAAACTGACTTGCACAACAGATGATCGACTAAGTGCAACCAAGATGCCAGAGTGTTCTGATGGGGGATTAATGGTTGTTTTAAAACAAGCGAACAAACAGTGCTGGGCAACAGTCTCCCCATAAAGGACAAAATGAACCTTGATCCTTACCTCTGGCTCTACACACACAGATGACCTTAGAATGGACACACACCTAGGGTAAAAGGTGAGCTCACAGACAGAGTCTGAGGAGGGCTGGGCACCTGACTGACGGAGGGTAACGTGGTCCTAACCCTGCAGCTGAGGTCCACTCCACAGCTGATGGAGGTGTGTATAGAGCCTTGGAAGCCAGGAAGGTTCTAGATGGTGCCAAGAGCACACAGCCTCTCAGCATCTCGTGAGTGACATGTCATAGCCTGAGAATGTCACTTGGGGACCACGGGGGGTGGGGGTGGGGTGGTAAGGGAGAAACACTATCTATGTCTCCAAGCTAGGCAGTCACGGGTCGGAGACTCCACTGCCAACACACAGACCCAGCCTGCAAGGAAGGGGCTACATACTGTATGTGTCTCACACTACACGACTTTCTGAAAAAGGCAAAACCACAGGGTCAGTAAAATGACCAAGGGACTCAAGGTGAGGAGGAGGTGGGAAGAACAGGTGAATAGTGAAAACAGCAGAGGGCAATGATTCTGCAGCCATGCACACATGGAGTTAAACATTTGCCAGAACCCACAGGACTACACAACACAAGGGGACTCTGAAGTGAATTGCAGTTTCTTTAACAATAATGTAGCAGTATTACCTCATCAATTGCAACAAACGTGCCCCAGGAATGTAGCGTTAAGTGACATGGGAAACTGTTTGCAGACAAACAGAGCATATGGAACTCCATTTTCTGTGGAATTTTCCTGCTCACCTAAAGCTGTTCTAACAAGTAAAGTGTCTTAAAAAAGATACTCATGGGCGCCAATGGTCCCTGCAGCCCAAAGATGGAAATGATGGAAGTGCCCATTATAGAGGAATGGGTAAATACAGTGTAGCCCATGTGTATAATGGAATACTACTTTGCCACAAAATGAGAAAACAATATATGTATATGCATATATATATATATATGCATATACAGTTGTTGTTAAGCTCTGGTAGCATAGTAGTTATGATTCGGGATGCAAACCGCAAGGTTAGCAGTTTGAAACTACCAGCTGTTCTGCAGGAGAAAGATGAGGCTTTCTGTTCCCGTAAAGATTTACAGCCTCGGAAACCCTGTACAGGGTGGGTCACTGAGTTGGAACTGACTCCACAGCACATAATAACAACAACAAATATTGTTGTTGTTTTTAGGTGCCATCGAGTCAGTCAGCAAGATGGCCAAACTTCATCTCTCATACTTCGGACATACATACATACATACATACATACATACATATATATATATATATATATATATATACACACACACATACATACACACATGCATTTCCCTTCAGGTGGCCTATTTCAAATATTTAGATGGGGGTCCTGGTGTGGCATTGTGGGATGAAGCACTGGTCTGCAAGGTCGATTTGAACCACAAAGTTGGCAGTTCAAACTCCCCAGCCGCTCCTATACAGAGTTGCTGTGAGTTGGAGCACCCTTGACAGCACTTAACAATGAGCATCATGCCTTGACACAGAAAAGCTATGTGCTAAGGTGGTATGAGGGGGCCTCAAAAAATGTGTGGAAAATTTCCATTATCTTTGAATTCCACTAACTTTTTTGAAGTCCCCTCATACATTTTCATTAGACTTATTCAATCTGAATGCTGAGCGAGTAATACGAGAACAACAGCTGGACCGTATGACGATGTGTTACCAGGATTGGAAGAAGAGTCATTAACACCTCGTTTGCTAAAAGCGAAGAGGATTTGGAGCATTTACTGATGAAGATCAAAGACTACAATCTTATTTATGGATTACACTTCAACATAAAGAAAACAAAAATCCTCACAACTGTACCAATAAGTATCATCGTGATAAAAGGAGAAATTGTGCAAGTTGTCAGGGATTGCAATTTAGCTGGATCCACAATCAATGCCCATGCAAGCTGCTATCGTTATTGTTGTAGTTGTTAAGTGCTGTCGAGTCGGTTCTGACTCATAATGATCCTGCCTAGGGTTTCTGAGAAGCTCATGGAAACAGTAATCAAGAAATCAAACAACATCTGGCACTGGGCAAATCTGCTGCAAAAGACCTCTTTCAAGTGTTAAAAAGCAGAGATGTCACCTTCAGGACTAAAGTGCACCTAATCCAAGCCATGGTCTTTTTTTCAACTGCCTTATATGCATGAGACGGGGTGCTGGTGTGGCACTGTGGGTTAATGTGCCAGACTGCAAAGCTGTTTGAATTGCAAGGTCGGCGGTTCAAGCTTACCAGCTTCTCCTCGGAAACCCTATACAGGGTCGCTATGGGTTGGAATCGACTCGACAGCACTTAACAACAACAACAATATGCATGAGACAGTTGGTCAAGGAGCAAGGAAGATCAAAGAAGATATTTCTAAGATGCTTTGGAAATACGGTGTTAGTTGAGAATCCTGAAGAGTATCACAAACTGCCAGAAGAACAAAAAAAAATCTGCGGTGGAAGAAGTGTAGCCAAAACGCTCCTTAGAAGTCAGGGTTGTGAGACTTCAGCTCTCATATGATCAGGAGGGACCAATCCCTGGAGAAAGACATGTTTGGTAAAGTGGAGGGTCAGTGAAAAGGAGGAAGACCACCAATGAGATGGTCTGGCACAGTGGCAGCAGCAATGGACTCAAGTTTAACAATTGTGAGGCTAGTGCAGGACCAGGCAGTGTGTCCTTCTGTTTCCTTCAGTATCGCTATGAGTCAGACCTGACTCAGCAGCACCTCTCAACACATCTCCTATGTATACCTCCCCCATCACTATTCCAGGCCCCTTGGAGCTACTGCAGTATTTTAGAAGACAACAAAACAAAACCAGAACATTATTTTGTTTGAAAAGAGATTTTACATCTGATAAGAGATTAATAGGGGGTGAGGGGAAGGTACACCAAAAACTTGTGATTTATTTCTGTTCCAATCTACAGCTTGAGGGCTGTGGAATCAAAATGCATGTTACTGTCACAACTGCCAACTAGGAAAGACCCAAATCCCATTTCTTTTCCACACAGGAGGGAAAAACTGACGACAGAAGACGGAATCTAATTCTGTTCATTTACCCATGAGCACATGTCTTAGAAAATTTCATTTGGACCCAGCTCTGAAGCTGCAAAAGCTACTGCTTGAGTCTCCACCATTAGCAACTTCCAGGCTGTCCAAAATGTCTGGGGTTTGTCCCACTTTGAAAGCTCTAGTGTCCCACTTTGAAAGCTGCAAGTTATGTTAACGTGAAGTGACTGAAATGTCCCACATGGTGTGTAATGTAAAATGGCTGAGCTATACATTTGTGTGTGTGTGTCACAAGGGCCTATGTGTCCCCCGCCCCAAGGCCTGCATTTGGGTGTGTGAACACAATGGGGATTGTGTGTGTACACACAACAGAAGGCATTGGTTGTCGCTGAGCGTACACTGCCTGTGCATATGTGGAAGGCATGGGTGTGCAGGCCTGGTTTGTGGAGCTAGGCTTCTTGGGTTGGGAGCAGATGCTGTGAGTGTTGGCTGTACGGCGTGTTCTTGGAAGCAGCCCAGGCCGAGGAGGTGGAAGCCGGAAGACTCCAGAGCGGCACAGTGGTAGAAGGGTATGGTTCACACACGGCGCAAAAGAGTGCTTGTAGCTAACCCCAGTTGCATCCGTGGAAGAGACACTAGTCTTGTTTAGCTGGCCTGCGGCTGGCTGGGTTAGTAAAAACTATTCACCGGCTTCTTGGCTACACAAACCCTCTTGGCTGAGGGTTTAATCAAAGCCACATTTGGTTGGCAAATTCTCTGTCCCCTGAAGGATTTCAACATAACAGAATGGTTTTCTGAGAGCCCACCTCCCCTCTTTCTCCCCCCGTCCCCCCCTCCCCTGCATCCTCCAAGACAATGTCTTCCTTCCTTGGGAGTCCATGTCCCATTGTAGAAGGAATTCAGGAGAGCAATGGAAGTGGGGAGGGAGGGATACAGGGAGGAACACTGGGGGCCCTTTATGGGCAGAAGGAACAAAGAAAGCTGAAATCTTTTGTGGCTGGAAGTGTCAGGTAGAGCCTCTCCCAGTCCAAGTCCCATCCAGTGAGGTACAGACTATTCCAGCTGCAGAGGGACCCTGGGAGTCTGGCTCAGAGGAGAGCGCTCTAAACAAGGGGCTGGGGACATAACCTCCTGACACCGACTTTTCTACCAGCCCGGCCTCAAAGACATGGTAACCGGGGTGGACGTTTGGGGGCTGGTGTCCAGATATCAGGGGACAGGGCAGAGACAGTTCTGACACAGTCTGACATCTGGCAGATGATCTTTGACCATTAAAGTGTAAACACTGTAGAGGTACCCACCTTTAATCATGGATGATCATCCTGAACCACAGGTGACTGACCTAAACCATGGGTGGCCAGCTTAGGTCATGGGTGGCTGCCTTAAACCATAGTGACTGCCCTGAGCCACAGGTGACAGGCCTGGGCATTGTGTGGCTGTCCTGAGCCACGGGTGACTAATCGGGGCCATGGGTGACCAGCTGGGGCCATGGATGCTACCCTGAACCACAGTGACCGACCTGGGCCATGGGTGTCCACCCTGAACCATGGGTGTCCATCAGTCACAGGTGTTCACCTTCAGTCATGGGTGCCCGCTCTAAGTCTAAGGAGACTTCCCCATCCACAGTGGGCTCATGCTAGTGATCAGTGAAACAGACTGACGGAATGAAATTGAACCCCTCTCCCCATTCCCACCCCTCTTCCCGACTTACCCTTCCTCCTGGGCTGCCAAGGAGTTCTGAGAGAGCTTAGCTAAGTTCTTTGCATATTCTTCTTCAATCTTTATCCTGCAAAGGGGGAACACCCAACACGTAAACTCTGTGTCCCTTATTCACTGTGTAGTAAACCCACTAGGTTCTGAACTCTCTGAGTGTGTGTCGTGTCCGCCCACCTGACACACCGACAGCAAACCCACTACCAGTGAGTTAGTTTCAACTCATAGTGGCTGTCTATACGGTCTCCAAGACTGTACATTTTTACAGGAGTGGACAGACAACCTCATCTTTCTCCCGATGCGTGGCTGGTGGGTTTAAACCACCCACTTTGCAGCTAGCAGACTAATGCCTAAAAAAGAAATAAAACTGTCTGAAACCGTCTCTCCTCATCTGCAAAATGGGATGTTTTCATTGCTAATGGGTTTAGCCACTAACCTGAGAGTTGGAGGTTTGAGTCTACCCAGAGGTGTTTCAGAAGGAGACTTGATCATCTACTTCTGTAAAGTGAGTCATTGAAACCCTACGGAATGCAGTTCTACTCTGACACACGTGGGGTCATCAGAAGTTAAGAGTTGGCCAGATGCAACCAGTCTTTCCGTTCTTGTTGTTAAGTGCCGTCAAGTAACTTTCCCTTCATAGCGACCCTATATAGGGTTTCTGAGAAGTGGCTGGTGAACTTGAACCACCGACCTTGCGGTTCAAACCAGCCTTGCATGGTTTGTACATAAACCCATAATGCCATACCAAGACTCCTTTTGGTTCCTGGGAGTGAAAAATTTGTCATTTGCATAGCTCTCAGAAAGAACAGGGTGGGAAAGGTGGGACACCCCTAAGTGACCATGTATACACAACCCTGGTAGACCATGCAAAATACCCAAGTCTGTTTCCACGCCTCTCCAAACTCAGACCTCAGAGACAGAACATCTCCCCAAGGCCTCCCACTCCCAGTGCCTGAAAGTGACAAGCCTGCAGGGCCCACATATCACCATGGAAACCAGGCAGTGCCCAGAGCAGTGCTCACTCCATTTCCCGGGAGAGGGAACTTGTTTTAGATTTAGCATCCAGCCGGAAGGCCCTTGACACACTTTTAAGACAACTCTCTGGGGATGTTTGATATTAGCTGGCACATGGTGTTAAACGTGCTGTCAGAGGACTGTTCACTGACTAAGTGATCCCCTGGGCCATGGTGCTGTGAGGCCCTGCACGGGGTCGGGGGGG